TACTTTTACTTTACAGGATAAAAAATATAATTATTTTGTTAAACAACATGAGCTTAATCACAAATTTTTCACTAATAAAGCTCAAATTAATTAATATGGATTTAAAGCTTATCAAAAGAAGAAGTTTTTGTAAAATTAGAGTATCTGTAGTACAGTTTTATGATGATAAAAAAAAATCGCGATTAATTTATGATTTTTCTAAAAACAGTACATAGTTAAGTTTAGCTGCTCAAAAGTAATCTTTAAATGGTTTTAGGAATGATAAAATCTATTTTCGTTTAAAGTAAATTTTATCTAGTTTACAATGAAGCAATTATTAATTACTTAAATTAAATATTTCTATAGTTATCGCTTCGATGCAGCAAAAACACGACTCACTTAAAAAAACACAAAACTTGGCTTTGATACTTTTCTGCTAAAAATTGGCCCTTTATTTATAAGAACTTTTTTGTTGCTCTTGATGTCTGCTATCGCTCATATAAAAATTTCCCTCTACTTACGGGACATACTGTATAATGTTAATAGTGCGTTGTCCGGAAAATAATGCAGGATTTTGGTTTAAAAAGAAAAAAAGAAAGATTTACAACTATTTTATTTAATCAAAATAGTCTCCACTAATTTCAATACATTTCTGTCAACATGTTGGCAACTTTTCCAATCCCTCCGAATAGAATTTCCTATCTTTAGAATCGATAAACTTCAAAAACGTAGTTTCTAATTCCCTTTGTACATAAAATTTTTGTCACGTAAGTTGTGGTCCAGGTGTCTAAAAAGAGATAATCGGTTTGGGAGAGGTCGGGAGACTAGGTCAGATATAACAGAGGTTCATATCCAAGCTCCAACAGTTTTTGTGACGTCACATGTGAGACATGTGGCCGCGCATTGTCATGCAATAAAAAAGGTCGTGAAGAGAAGAATAGTTGGGGTGGTCAGTCAAAAAAGAAGGCAAAAATAAATGATAATATTTATTTTTACATATGCCGACGTTTCGAAGATGGTTTCATTATTGCCGATTTCTGATGCATTGCATTAATTTGGTTACAATACGATTCGGCATTGATGGTTTCTTCTGGATCTAAGAAGCTGTAGTGTATCAAACCAAATAAAGCCCACCTAACAGTAACCATCACCTCTTTTTTATGGGTTGGGGGCTTTGGAAAATGTTCTGCTGCTTCTCCTTTGCCGAGCCACTGTCCAGAAAGTCTACTGTTATCGTAAAATATCCACCCTACATCACAAGTAACAATTCTGGACAGAAAAGGGTAGTTTTCGATTCAGCAAAGATATGTAGCACAAACTTCAAAACGCTATTTTATTTTTACGGTCGGTTAATGTGTGGTGAACCTAACTTTCAAGTTGTTTTACCTTTCCAATCGTCTCGAGGTGGTCATCAACGGTCGATTTGCTTACGTTAAGTTTCCCATCAAGTTCTCGGACAGTTGTTCTGGGGTTTTCTTCCAACTTGAAAAGTGCACTTATTAATGCTGCTCACGCCCCAGACTTGGTTGATATTTCAGGCCTTCTGGGCCCCATTCTGGCCGATTTTAAACTCGTAACACAAAACTATACGAAAATCACACATTGACATCTTAGTAAAGACTGAATTATTACTAAGCAGCGGAATGCTACATAGGTAAACAAACATTATCGTTTGGAAGAGGATTAATAAGTGTAGACATATATACAAATGAATAATCTAGTCAGCGTAAACAGTTTTTTATATAGAGGAGTATTTTAAAGAAAACTCAAAATCCCGCATTATTTTCTGGACAAGCCAATAGTTCAAATAGTGCACAATAATTATAACATCTATATTCATATCAGATGATCCACCTGGAGGGACAAAAAGCAGATGGATAGATTGAATCAACAAAGATGTAGTTCAGCTGAATGCAGATAACTGGAAAGAAATAGCCTAAGATAGGCAGGGATGGAGTAGGCTTGTTAAGGCAGCAAAAGATCTTTGTAGACTATGTGGCCAGTAATGCCAACAGAAAAAAAAGTAATAATAATAAACAATTATTTTTTATTTAATGATTTTTGCAAAATAAACCAAATGGTTAGAATAATGGAAAATAGGCTTTCAGCTGCGCTAAGTGGTAGTAACCCAAATAAAAAAAATCTGGTGCGGTGCGTGCATCACACAACTTTCACTTACCATCCTCTATCAGTCGAGGAAAGTCCACAATGTTCAACAGCCACCAGACCCAAGCACTTGGAATTTCATATCAGAGCCTTCAAATCATTATGAAAAAATCTGGTACGCGTATCACACGACTTTCATTTACCATTCTCTTCTTAGCAGAAATAATTATTTTCAGACAAAGGGACAGTGGAAGTAAAGATTATAGATGCTATATTTATTTATATTTAATTGTGGGTATTTTTGTTTGTACAAGTACCCTTAAATATACAAATTTGAATATTTATATCGCTGTAATCTATACAATTAAATATTAAATAATACCAACAATAGCATTTATGAAAACCGCATATGTATATTTACATAATATTGTCAGAGTCCATATTATATTAAACTCATGTTACGTAAGGAAGCCTGTTCTAATCTTTTGGGCGAGTTACTGATTGCTTTCGTTCCTCAATTACAACTTTTCTCCATTACAATATCTTATTTCTTCTTTAGTTAATTATCAAATTCTTTCATAACTAATATTTAACTATCTTTTATATTAGAGATCAATGCAAAATGGTCGATTGTTTCAAATAAAAAAATTTAAAGGTACTTTAGAGGAAGCTAATATTGGAAATTATCCATTCAAGCCCTGCCAGAGAAAATCAATTAGAATAAAACCTATATTTTATTTAAAACTGCTTAATTTTACACTTATATAATGAATTTAATCAAAATCGTTAGAGCCGTTTTCGAGAAAATCGTAAAAATGTGTTACATAGTCCATTACATAAAGTGCCAATTCCGGTTAGCCGATTTTGGCGAAAACATTGCTGTAACATCCCTAGCATATAAAACTTTCAAATTCGCAGGATTTTTCGTTTTGAGCTAGACTGTTAATGCACACACACAGAGACTAATCTGCGGGATCTGGTTATTTGGACCCAGAAGACCTCAAAACATGTATTTCCGTTGAAAACTGAAATTCGAAAATTTACATGATCGCAATACTTTTCTTTACTGTATATTTCATAGTAATATAGGTATAGGTAATATATTTCATACATAGGTAAGTGAAAGTAAAAAGTAATGAAAAAGCAAAAAATAAAATAAAGTAGATGAAATAAATTTTAAATTATCGCTAAAGTCATAATAGATATAAAATTAAAAATACTGCCAACATTTAATAAAAATTATATAACCTAAACAGATACCATACATTTAGAAGGAGTTAGAAATGAAGTTATCTAAAACTTAAGGGAATATTTTTTAACGATACAGATATCTTACTAATCTCTGGTCGGGATGTATTAATGAATTAAAAAATAGTAAAAAAAGCTGGTTTAAGGTATTTAATTAAATTTAGAAAAGGCAGAATAATGAATTCGGAAGGTTAAAAAAAATTAAATGATAAAACAATTAGAATACCTTCAATTCATTAATAGTAAATAATAAACTTTCAAAATTACCAGAGAAAGCTGTACTTCTAGGGTTTTCAGGTTTTCATGGTATCAGTATATGGCACCGTTTTGTTTATTAAATAGAAACAAAAGGAGCTTATATGAATAGCAAAATTAAAATAATCTATTATTTCTTGAAATATTTAATAAGAGTTTACATAAATTGAGATCTATGTTTTCTCAACAACTTAAACAGAATATGAAGTAACAAACCAAATGAAAAAAAATATCATAAAACAATTTACTAATTAAGGAAGAATAATGAAATAAAATACAAATAAAAAATAAATAAATTATATAATTATACTATATATAAGTGTTTAATAGGTTTTAACAAATCAAATCAGACTTATAAAATATAAAACTTCTTCATTTATTTATAAAAATCCAACTAATAAAGAGAATTATATTACAAGAAGTATCACAAATTCAATGAAAATCTATGGTTTTAAAACTAATTTTTGAACAGAAGACTCTCCATAATTCTTGGGGCAGTGATTCATGTAAATATTACAAATTGTGAATTATAAATTGGTATAAAGAGTTTTCTATTCAGTTTTACTTTTGCCTATGCATTTACTTTTGCATTATATATAATATTTTGTCTTAAAGTCAAAAATATAAATTAATAATAATAAAGATTTTAAAAATACAAAAAAATAACATGTATTTGTCAATTACAACAATTCATTCATCATAACATTAATCAAATAATTAAATATTATTATTAAAAAACATAAAAGGAAAAATAGACCATATTTGTTTCTAAACATTCTTTGTAAATTGAAAATTTACTTGACAATTCGAAAAGTAAAAATAAGCATAATAAACAATAAAAAATGATGAAAAATGTATTGATCAATTACATAAATATATATGTAATATAATAATTTACAAAGAATACTATATTTGTGGTTATATCCTACAAATATTTTCTAGATTAATTTGTAGCAATTACTTATTAGCAACTTTTTAATATAACTTTATATACTTTATAAATAATAAATTATATATAACTATAATACGTGGATAAATATAAATTTATTAATTATATAAATATATATAACTTATTAATATAAAATAACTATGACTTAGCTATTACAAAGGCATCTAAGTAAGAAACAGATTGTATACCTGTTATCAGTACATTATATCTTTTTATTCCTTAAATCTTATTAATTTGCTTTTGATGGAGGATGGGAATAATGAGGAAGCAAGTAATGCTAAATGTATAAGGCAGAGAATGCTTTGAACATTTTTGTGAATAATTTAAAAACATGATGTGAAACATATACTTTGGTTAAATAAAAGATAAAAGTAAATAAATTGAAAATGTAAATTATACATTATAAGTAAATGATATATCCATAGCAAAATTCTATTTGTATTCGTTTTTATCAATAGTCCATTTATTTTCAAGTGAATCATAGAGTATAAAAAATAGATTTGACAAGAAATATTTAAGATTTTCTTTCAACTATCAGAAAATTATGTTTTCATAGTAAAATATTATATTTTATACAATATTTGTCAATTATTCACTAAAATATAATCTTTTGATTATATTTACTTTTATTCTAAATAATTATTTAATGTTCAATACAACAATTATTGCTAAATTATGCATTATCTAAACTTCTCCCTTCCTCCCATAAATATATATAATTATTTTCAAGTGAATTATAAGGAGTCTATTGTACAAAATATAAATAACTTAGATAAAAATAACAGAACATTTTAAACATTTTTTTTTTAAATATCTTTACATATCATGTTTTCACAGCACCTTCGACTTCTTCCTCACCTTCACTAGCATTAAGGACCATATCTATAAGGCCAAACTTCTTAGCATCGATAGGTGACATGAATTTGTCTCTTTCCATATTTTTTTCTGTAAAAAACAAAACAAAAGAATTTATGATAAACAGAAACAAAAGTAAAAAAAGATTCTCCTTTCAACATATAAAACTAATTAAAAGATATAAGTCAGGACAAGGACGTATTGATATGAGAGATTATTCACTCATTTGTAGTGGTTCAGAAAATAGAAGGGGACTATACAGTACAGGATTCATTATAAATAAACCAATCAGAGGCTCATTACTTGATTTTGAAACTATTAATAATAGAATATACAAAATCAGAATCAAAGGTAAATATAGGATCATAACCCTACTTTCGATTCATCCAATAAGTTAAAACAAAACTGGGGAGGAAAAGAAAACTTTTGATGACAAATTAAGTAGAATCTGTGAAAGCTCCCCAAGATATGGTGTGGTCATTATTTTGGGTGAAATAATGCTGGTAAGTTTTCCTTACATGATGTAAGTAATGATAATGGGCAGCCCTAATAGTCTGTGGGCCAGACCCCCTTACCGTGCACCCCCCCCCACATCCCTATAAATTGCATATCGTTGTGTTCCTTGTAACTATTTATTAAAAAAAAGCCAATGTTCCCACAAAAAAAAGTGAACGCACTGCCCCAAAATGGCGTCCAAAGATGGCGGATTGACGACTTTGACTTTAGTTAGTTTTTTGGTCACTGAGAATCAGCATTTGGCTTAATTTCCTCATAGTTGGTCTTTTATTAAAGCTGAATAGTCATAGAATAATAAACCATGAAGAAATATTAAAAAATAGTTGGCTTAGGCTATGAAAAATACTACTAAAGTCAATTTTTTTAAAAAAAAAATTTTCAAGTTAAAAATCAAGCGTCATTTGTAATTAAACGGCCAACAATAACGCAAAACGTGCTGAAATAAACCATCTGGAGAATATATTTTTCTTTCCAAAACGCTGATTATTTTTTAAAAACTTTTAAACAGTTCCGTAGAAAATGCACTTATGCGGCAGAAAAGCGGTACTGGCGTGGGTGCCTACAGGCCTCTACCACACCATTCAGTACACATAAATGGCTTAGTTAAAGTGATATAATAACATTTTTGGTACATTATATTGGTTTTATTAACGAACAAATATTAATGCAATAATTTAATTGTAAAAAAAAAAAAATTAAATTTTTAAAAACAATTTTTTTTTTATTCAACCTTCTTTATTCTACACGTAGGTCGTTTAAGAAGACCATGATTGTAAAAATGATATAATTATAATAATAAAACTTAATTAAAAAACTTTGATGAATATCTTGATTTTTTATTTATTTAACGTTTGCAATTTAACACTATGTTTTGTATATTTTCTGATTCTTAAAGGTAATTAAAATTTTTATTTACTTCCCAGGAAATGAGTCATATTAATACCTGTTTTATAAACTAAAATAATATATACCTAATCTGAACTATATATAATGAATAGCTGCTGGGTTGTATAGTAAAACTCATATATCACTAATTAAAAAATTAATTTTTATTTCCTTTATTTTGTGCGGAAGTTGTACTATATCATAATTAAATAGGAAATTTTATTATTGAATTAATTATTCTCTCTGCACAAAGAAAGATAGAAAGGGGGACGCTATAAGTTCTTCTATAAACCAGAACTGATTGTTTGGATTTGGTCTTGAAATGAGGAAAAAGGCGAAATTGAACTAGAAAACTTGAAAAATACTTTAAGTGAACGAGAAAGGAAGTGCCAAAACCTTGGAAAAGATAAAAAGGACCAGTATCCTTTATATGGCTAAACGAATGTATAGTAGACAGATGAAGAGAATATTTCAAGATGTTGCTAAAAGGGGATCAATTGCAGTTTGGATGATATTAAGTGGACGATGTAGGTTTATTATGGTGAAAACCACTTTATTTTCGATTGCTGAAGGTGCACATTGGGACTATCTTCACTTTGAAGCAGGATGTAGAGAGGTATATCGAGTTATAGCTCATAGCTCTTCTTCTGTTTAGTGCATTTGCAAAAGATTTTTTAAGGAATCTGATATAAGTTATAGCTCGTTATTGTTCAGAAATTGCGGAATAAATTTTTCGGAAGTTGTACTATATCATAAAAAATTTTAATATTGAATGCATTATTCTCTCTGCTCAAAGAAAGATGGAAAGGGCGAAACCGAACTGCTTCGCACAGTTTAGCGCATACATAGGCAACAAGTATGTTAGAAAATAATATGAAAGGACTGTGGTTTTTATCCTTACAAGAAAGGAGATACTAGGAAATGTAATACCCATCAAGATCCATTCCTGTTTAGTGTACCAAAGAAATTATACTATAAGAATCGTAGAAGCTGGAATAAGAAATATTGTCGATTGCCAGAGCAATATGGATTGAGAAACTCAAGTTGCACATTGGAAGAGAAGTTGAAAATTGAGACTGGCTTCACTTTAAGGCAGGTTATAGAGAAGTCTATATACAACGAAAAATATCTCTCTATCTGCTTAGTGCCTTACTCTTTGGATTGTGCTAATATCTAATTGTCTTTCAGAAAAGCAGGTTTTCCTTTTAGATTCCTTAAAAAATCGTTTGCAAATGCACTAGACAGAAGGAAAGCTATGAGCTATAACTTTCTCGATATACCTCTCTATATCCTGCTTCAAAGTGAAGATAGTCCCAATGTGCACCTTCAGCAATCGGAAATAAAGTGGTTTTCACCATAATAAACCTACATCGTCCACTTAATATCATCCAAACTGCAATTGATCCCCTTTTAGCAACATCTTGAAATATTCTCTTCATCTGTCTACTATACATTCGTTATTAGCCATATAAAGGATACTGGTCCTTTTTATCTTTTCCAAGGTTTTGGCACTTTCTTTCTCGTTCACTTAAAGTATTTTTCAAGTTTTCTAGTTCAATTTCGCGTTTTTCCTCATTTCAAGACCAAATCCAAACAATCAGTTCTGGTTTATAGAAGAACTTATAGCGTCCCCCTTTCTATCTTTCTTTGTGCAGAGAGAATAATTAATTCAATAATAAAATTTCCTATTTAATTATGATATAGTACAACTTCCGCACAAAATAAAGGAAATAAAAATTAATTTTTTAATTAGTGATATGTGAGTTTTACTATACAACCCAGCAGCTATTCATTATATATAGTTCAGATTAGGTATATATTATTTTAGTTTATAAAACAGGTATTAATATGACTCATTTTCTGGGAAGTAAATAAAAATTTTAATTACCTTTAAGAATCAGAAAATATACAAAACATAGTGTTAAATTGCAAACATTAAATAAATAAAAAATCAAGATATTTATCAAAGTTTTTTAATTAAGTTTTATTATTATAATTATATCATTTTTACAATCAAGGTCTTCTTAAACGACCTACGTGTAGAATAAAGAAGGTTAAATAAAAAAAAAAATTGTTTTTAAAAATTTAATTTTTTTTTTTTTTACAATTAAATTATTGCATTAATATTTGTTCGTTAATAAAACCAATATAATGTACCAAAAATGTTATTATATCACTTTAACTAAGCCATTTATGTGTACTGAATGGTGTGGTAGAGGCCTGTAGGCACCCACGCCAGTACCGCTTTTCTGCCGCATAAGTGCATTTTCTACAGAACTGTTTAAAAGTTTTTAAAAAATAATCAGCGTTTTGGAAAGAAAAATATATTCTCCAGATGGTTTATTTCAGCACGTTTTGCGTTATTGTTGGCCGTTTAATTACAAATGACGCTTGATTTTTAACTTGAAAATTTTTTTTAAAAAAAAATTGACTTTAGTAGTGTTTTTCATAGCCTAAGCCAATTATTTTTTAATATTTCTTCATGGTTTATTATTCTATGACTATTCAGCTTTAATAAAAGACCAACTATGAGGAAATTAAGCCAAATGCTGATTCTCAGTGACCAAAAAACTAACTAAAGTCAAAGTCGTCAATCCGCCATCTTTGGACGCCATTTTGGGGCAGTGCGTTCACTTTTTTTTGTGGGAACATTGGCTTTTTTTTAATAAATAGTTACAAGGAACACAACGATATGCAATTTATAGGGATGTGGGGGGGGGTGCACGGTAAGGGGGTCTGGCCCACCGTGTATAAGCGGAGGTAGAAGCAGCCTGCAATTGAAAAATTAAAAGCACCTTTTCTAAACATAAATATTTGGGAACGTGGAAACTTCTAGGTGGCGGTGTCAATCAAATTGATTGTTTTTTCATCGAGAGATGCCTCCAGTATAACTGATGTTTGCAGAAGACTAAACTGTCACTCTGATCACTTTCTTCTAAGAGCTATTTTTAGGCACAGATTATTATATGTTCAGAAAGGCAATAAAATAAAGAGAAAAAGATGGAACATTGAAAAATTAGATAGCCTGAAGCACAAGGAATCATTTGAGAAAACTTTGAGGAGCAAACTAGAAGTCTGTGCTGAATCCAATGATAAAACTAAGAAATGAAGTCGTTTAAAGGGATCTATCGAAGTGACAACTGATCACTAGTACTAAGAGCAAAGGTTCCCAAAATAAATAGTGCTGATGCCCATTTCATTAAAGAATAAAGGTAGGCAAGTAATGCTACTAAATTATGCAGAAATAAAAATTGAGAATATGGAGGAAATGAAAGAGTGTACGGAAGAAAGAAAATCTTATCAGTCAGTAAGAAGAATGAGGAAGCGCTTCCAACCTAAAGTGAATATATGTCACAACATCGATGGGTTACTGATTGGTGAAAATTAGCTCGTTTTGGAAAGATGGGCCAGAAACTTCAAACAGGTTCTGAATGCCAAAACACAAAATAACCAAATGGCGATTAATAGGATGTATCAAATTGTTTTGTGAAACATAGAACTGGATACTGTGTCTTTTCCTGACCTCGAACCTCTATCTCATGAAGAATTTTTGGATACCCTAGACAAGGGGTTACCACCTTTTTTTTGTAGCAGTGGGCATATTTATTGGTTATGTCTTGAGCGGCAGGCACCGTGTTTTTATTCATTGTAAATTGCAGGTAGGTTATTGTTTATATATTTAAAAAGAA